CTACCCCTCTGAAAGAGTTGATCAGATTTATTCCACTGCTGGCATCTTTATATTCTCATGAGATATTCGAATATGTTATTTGATGAAGAAATACGGATCAGAAATACCCGGTCAGCAAGGATTTTTGAAAAACAGCAGTAAAAAACTACCCCTCTGAAGGGGTTGATCGAAATTATTTTTTCAGTGGCATCTATATATCCCTATAATATATTCATATATGCAATTTTAAGGACAAATACGAATCAGAAATGCTCGGTCAACAAGGATTTTTGAAAAACAGCAAGAACAAACTACCCCTCCGAAGGGGTTGATCGGAATTATCCTACTGGTACTCTTCAATATCTTCATTGAATATTCAAATATGTCATTTGATGTATGTGAAAAATGCGAACCAGAAATACTCTGTCAGCAAGGATTTTTGAAAAACAGCACGTATAAACTACTCCTCTGAAGGGGTGTATCGAAGTTATTTCACTGGTGGCATATTTATATTTCCATACGATATTCAAATAGGTGATTCGCAACAAAAAATACGAACCAGAAATGCTCGGTCGGCAAAGATTTTTGAAAATCAGTAAGAATAAATTACCCCTCTGGAGGGGTGGATCGAAATTTCACTGGTGGCATCTATATACCTCTATGATATATTCAAATATGCAATTTGTAGGGAAAACAAAAACCAGAAATCCTTTATCAGCAAGGATTTTTGAAAAACTGCAAGAATAAACTACCCCTCTGAAGGGGTTGATCGGAATCATTCTACTAGTGGCATCTTTGTATTCTCATAAAATATTCGAATTCGTTATTTGATGAAAAAATACGAACAGCTATATATATTTCATCGTTTCATTGATTAAATTGATAAGATGATATATTTTTTTACCACTTTCACACACTTTTCTCATACTTGATGGTATTTGAGTGATTTCTCCTGCAACATGCATCCTTCATTTCACAGGGCAAGTGTGTACTATGAGCTGGTAAACGAATTTTGGAGTGGTTTTATGCTCGAACGTCTTCATGAAACCTCATAGTATAGAGTCTTGCAGGTGATACTCATGGGTATATATTGTGGGAGGAATCCGAATCTCAAATTCACTGTTTGTGATAATTTTATAGAATTCTGCTACACACCTCACCTCAATTATTGATGTAATTTGTAGGTACTTACTCGATGTACTCGACGAGATATTTCTTTGCACTATAATTTTTCTTCTCAATTCGCATATCTTTCTATACCTTCCTCTGATTGTCCACTGCTGCCAATGATAAGGTACACTCTTCATCGCGTTAATGAAACTGAAACTACGCCTGAATCAGCACTTGTCGATAACACGTTCATACCCTAGCGGTATGAAAAGAACAATGATGATCGGCTATCAGGGTGAAAATTCAAAATTTATCTTTGAACTCCGTGCCTAGTGAAGTCGAGAGGAACGACTACAAGTGGTAAGTTTAATAATTCGAGACGAATTCGTGAAATATAATTCATCAAACTTGGATTCGTTAATATACTCCTGCTTCTTCTGGAAATCTTCATTACGATGATTGATTAAATTCATCAGACTAAGATTTCGAGACTTGTAACCTACCTTCTATATTTTCAATAATAAATCTACCAAACTGTCAATTGAGAAAATTGTTTCATTTGCGGACGGCAGCTTTTCATCAGAGAACAGATAAGTGAGTTCGAGGTAGAACTAGATGCATTCAGATTCAAGTTTTCAAGGGGCGCCACTCAATTTAAAGAAAACATTTCAGATTGGATAATTGAGAAAACCAAATGCTTCATCTGATAGTGAAATTCTGAAAATAAAGATGTATTATTTTTTTAGATTGTGGATGGCAGACAATTAGATAAATAAAATGCAGAATTTCTTTGAAACCTATTTAATTCCTGGAAACCAGACAAGGCACATTCGAACCTGTGAGGAGGCTAGTGAAATATCTGTGATTTCAAGTGTGATGGAAATTGAGTATCTCAGACAAATCAAGTAATATAACGATCAGGACACGAGTTCATGATCTATATAGTAAAAGACAGATGTAGACCAGTATCTACCAATAATTACCAGGGGAATAATTCGAAAAACCAAAGGGGTCGAGCGCGAAACCTACAGCTACCGCATAGCGCTATGAGAGGTCCTTACAGGGGGTTTTACGTTGAAGGTATTGAATGATTGATATTTGAATAGATTCCCTAACAAAAACTTGATACAACAGCCTCTTCAGAGATCGAGATCACCCCGATCACAGTCCATTTCCCAGGATGGGCAGCATAGGTCCCTGCCAACAGCACCAACACAAAGGAAGGTTCCTCCACAAATCTCCTGGGCTGAACTCCGCGGTCTCTCTCTCCCTGGTATTCCTCCTGGCGTTACCACGGAGTTGAGCACGACAGATTGGCTTCTGGCTCACTCTGGTTGAACCCAGAGGTCTCCGCAGTCTCCTCTAGTCCAGATCCGTGGCGTCGATAGTGTCAAAGTACCAGGGCATTCTGACTAGTGGAAAGTGGGGTCCTCGATGGACACAACGACAGCACAGAGGAAAAATGCTATAGTTTAAGCATTATCCTACAACCCTGTTATATAAACAGTTCATTTAACCTCAGGTCACAGAACGTGGAAAATAGAAAAACCTTTCAGAAATAGATGTGTTTTCATCCAAAATATCACTGACTATCGACTCACCTTCCCAAAAGGGCTAAGCCGGCGTCATTGAAGTAGCAGACATGAGGTAGGGCTCCAGGTGACAATAGGGCTGCTCCCGCGTGGCGACATCAATTTGGCTCAAATTGACGACGTTGAAGAAAAGTCTATGGCTCATTAGACTTACTTGAACAAATCCCCTATAACGGCTATCGTTACAAATCGATTTTCAGTCTTCTTGTGGCACCAGCAGAAATCTTCAAGTGCCTCTTGTTATGGCCAGTGGGCAAAAGCCACGAGATCGGAAATTCCCCCAAAACCTCAGTTTTTCCTAAATCTGGCAAAGAAAAAAATCCCCGAATCCATTTTGCCAACCCAAGACGTAGGTCACCTTTAGGAAGAGTTCTGATTTGCCGATTTTAGAAGGTCACCTTCAGGAAGAGTTCTGTCCAACCGGTGTTACACCAGTGCAGTAATATCGTTCACAGGACAGGTGACTCAGGAAGTATGTCAATCTGACAGTGACGTTCTGGACGAAAATATAACCTGTTGAATGAACCTATCTCTAATAACAGAAATCCCAAAAAAATAACAAACAGATTCTTCAAACGGGACACGTTCTAATAGAAGAGTCAACCTAATGATTCCTGAAATAGCCAAGCATATTCATTCATTATAGTCGGAGAACTAATTGACGTTCAAATTTCAGATCGAAAAAGTTGATATGATAATTTCCAATATGAAAAGTTTGTGATATGGATCAATAGCCATCAAATGATTGAACTTTAGCAGGTATTAACATCAATTTATCTGACTGAGTGTTCTGTGTGAAAATTTACATTTTGATGATATATTTACTTGGATATTTACCAGGACTGTATGAAAATCATAAACAAAACTTTATTCAGGGAATTCAACTCATTCAACTCTCAGTATTCTGGTGACAACTGTCGATTTTTTTCATTACTTAACATGAAATGTATTGGGATTCTGATTGTTATGCAGTAGCAATTCTAGGGATGTGAGTTCCTTTGTCAGCATATCAACATCATAATTTTCTACATCTCTGAGTTCGAATCTTTATGAATTCCTACAAATCTATTACTCTAGAGCGACTGTGGAGCTGTGTCAGTAGACAATCCTAGATTCTGATAATCTTCCTCATAGCTTGTGTTCATAATCGCTACATAGAAAGGAACGTGTTATTGAGAAAGCAAAATTTCGTGTCCTTAGGAATTACAATATGATACATCACTTTCACATTGATTCTATAACTGAATATGCAGTGATAGATACTATGAACTTATTGAAATATAAAACATCGTCTGGGCTGAATGGGTTGTCGATAGTAATAGTCAAATAAATTTTCTAGAGCTATGAATAAATTCAATTGATCACAATTACAATACAAGGCGTGGTGACTCGATAATGATTACAAATGACGATACTTCCAAATACCAAAATTCTCCATTATTCAATGCGACCTTCCTCCACAATGAACTGCCAATTTCAATGAATAATTATTATTTTTGACAAAAATTTCAATAGTACTCGGTAAAATACCTGCTACTGTGAAAATGTTATCATAGAACTCATAGAAGATATTCTGAACTGGGTTAAGAATCTATATTCAATTTCATTCATGAGTATTCAATGTGATCTATATTCATCTTTCGTTCGTTTCTTCGTTGTGATATGGAGTTGAATATATTATTGTGTTTCTTACCGTCTACATACCATAGTATGAACTGAATGTATCACAATGCTGAATGAACATCTATCTGCCTATCAATATATCTACACCCACGACAAAATACCTGTTACTATGAAAAACATCCAATCACAAAACATTTTTTCGAAAGTGACATGATTCTTGTTGAAGTAGCGCACCACGAACTCATGAGTGTAACAATGTGATATCTGGAAGAGGGCTGCGCGATATCAAATTTCACATATCGACTATCGATAAGTCGAAACATCGATATATCGATAGTGATCTATATATCTATACTTTTGAAATCATATATCGACATAGCGATACATCGATTTCCTTCCACGCCTAACTCAAAATGACCATATTTAATATCTCAACCAAAGGTTATGGAATCTTCAGCCAAACTGATGAAATCAGCATCAAAACTACCTGTCTACCAACCTACCTACCTAACTACCTACGAAATATATTTTCATGCCTGAAGAAACCTGACGAATAAAAATTGAAATTTGTTCCAGAACCATCATTACTATGGTCCGGATAATACGAACATAGTTATCGATAGTTATCGATGGTTATCGATTATTATCGATATATCGATAATTCTTGATAAATATCGATATATCGATAGTTATCGATATATTGATATTTTTCCCAGGCCCCTGGAATCAGAATAAGCTGTCATGATAAATGTGGTTTATTGAATCATTTCTTCATTGGGATAGAAATTAGGAGCCCCCAAACACAACTTACATTGTTTCAATTTCGTTTCTTTTGGTTAGAAAGATAATGATTTGATAATATTTGTGAAATCAGCATGAATACCCATTCGGATGGAAATTACAAGTGTCCTTATTCTTAGCTCCAGTTATTCTGACATCTCTCCAGTTCCAGTTGGAACACGAGCCATCACCGCAGTTGATATAAACTCCTACTGCGCTTCTACCAGTTACAGTACCGTAAATATTGTCTAAAGTCAAATCATCGATTCGGATGTTGTTTCCTGGCTGGCCATTTCTCAAGTAATCCTGGCGGAATTCGATTGCTCTCTGAGTGACATCTGAAAGAAATCCCAATGTTTTCAAATTACATATTAAGTACCCATCTTCATGAAAATGTAGTTTTGTTATCGACAGCTAGTGGCATACTTTTAAGATAAGGATCACACGATCACGCCATACACAACGCTGTTATCTATATTCAACACGTGAAGACTCTTACGTCTACACGTTCAGGTGTTGACTATAGATGGCAGCGTCATACTGTGTGTAGCTTGATCGCGTGATCATGATTTTAGAACTATTCCACTAGATGACGATAACATGACTAGGTTTTCATGAAGATAGGTACTCATTATGTTATGCCTGGAAAGGAATTTGAACATGTACTATTGTCACTACAAAATTTCACGTCGATCATCTTACCTCATAGATATGGAAGACTTCCAAGAACACATCTGTTCTGATGCCATTGCCGACAATAGTGAAATTGGACCAAATGAATATAAGAAGCATTTTATATGTTATTCTGCTCACATAATAAGATTGTTGAAATAATACACTCTGTATACATGATTTCATATCATGGCACCTTTGCAATGATTCTGAATAGTTGAAGTTGTTGAGATAATTAATTCAGTTGTTATTGTGACACTGTCAAAATATTTTTTCTTTAATATATACATTTTTCCTATTCTGCCCAATATTCATAATTCATCAGGTCATGGGCTCAGGCTTTCTCAACTAATTGCTATAGTTTATCGTTAATTGTGAAACTACCAGTATGGCAAGTCAGTCTGTGTATCGTGTTGAAAGATTGGAAGGTACAAAGAATTATGGAACCTGGAAGTATGCGATGAAAATGCTACTCATAAAGGATAAGTTATGGAAAGCTATCGAACACACGGAAGGTGAAGCAGTTGATACAGAAACTGATCAACAAGCTCTAGCAGCGATAGTTCCCAACATTCATCCAAATATATATGTTCGTACAACAACTGCAAAAACGGCCAAAGAGGCATGGACTAAGTTAGAAAAAGCATTCGAAAGTACTGGACTTCGACGGCAGATCATATTGGATCGTCAACTTCATTCAACCAAGCTGAACGACTTCGATAGAATGGAGGACTACATCAATAAAATGTTAGCAATTCAAACCGAATTAAAGGGTGTTGGCAGAGAAGTCAGCGATGACTATATGGCATTCAAACTACTGGCAAATCTCACAGATGATTACGATTCCTTGGTTATAGCTATGGAAAATGGTGCCAAAGTATTAGTATTAGATTCTGTGATCGATAACCTTTTACAAGAAGGAGCTAGGCGGAACGAGAATAACATGAAGAATGACTCAGCTCTAGGAAGTAAATACAGTCACTATGTTAAGAAACCACATCCAGTTGCAGAGCAGAATGAGAGACGATATCCAGGAAATTGTCTCAATTGTGGAAAACCAGGCCATAGCGCAAAAGTATGCAGAACCAAGAGATATCATCATAAATGTGACGTTGAGGTTTAGGGCGCACATGCGCAGAACATAAGATAGGTCACGACAGTAACATGAATAGGAAAATGAGCTCTCTTCTGTCGGGTCCACCAAGCAAGCAACATGATCAGATGTCTGTGATATTAGTAATAATAAAATCCGTATAGTGTACCACGATTAGTGTGTTTCATTGGAACAGAAATTACCGGGCATTAATTATGTAACTATTAATACGTTACAATTTGGCGACGAGTGAAAATTCGGATAATTCGTGAAACACGTGGCACGCGGTCGTGAAAGAGATAAGAAAATGGCCGCCGGTATAATTGGTAGTGTCCATGAATTTAATGGAATATCGGACGATTGGATCATCTATAGTGAGCGTTTGGAACAGTATTTCTGCGCGAACAAAATAGAAGACGTTAAAGTTAAACTCGCGACTTTAATCAGTTTAGTAGGTGATTCCACGTATAAGTTGTTAAGAGACTTGTGCCATCCGAGACTACCCAAGGAAAAAACATACGAAGAACTGTGTGAAATGTTGGAAAAACAGTTCAGCCCGCAGACATCAGAATGGAGAGAACGGATAAAATTCTACGACTCGAGGCAGCAAAGCTCGGAATCAATTAGTGAGTGGTTCGCGAGAATAAAAAACTTGTCAGTAAATTGCCAGTTCGGAGCGGCATTGGAGACCGTATTAAAAGACAAATTTGTCTCTGGCTTGCAAAAAGGGAAGTTGTTGGACCGTCTCTGCGAGGAAGGAGTGGAGAAGCCGTTGGATGAAATGGTGAAGCTAGCTTCCAAGAAAGAATCCGGTATGAAAGAAGAAAATCTCCAACATTTTTCAAAATTCCCGCCAAGAAGGAGGAGCCAACAGCAGCAGCGCCACCAGTGGGCAAGGTCAGAAACCAACACTGGTAGAGGGGCGACGCAGAATCGACACCGACAGGGGGCCGGGACATCAAATGTCATAAGTAAAATGGCGGAAACTGACAGTCATCGAAATGGATCAAATCTAAATGGAAATGGAAAGTTTCAAAACAATAGAGAATGTATGGTGTGTGGTAAGAAACATCTGGGAAAATGTAAGTACACGAACTATTTTTGTGATAAATGCAACAAAAAGGGCCATCTTGCCAAAGTTTGCAGAGCAAATAGACATTTTACCAATTTTATTGAAGAAGATTGGATGGAATCTGAACAAGTTAGTGATCATGAACAAATTTTCGCAATCAACCAGCGCCATCAAAATCACAATAATTTTAAAATCAATCTAGTAATGGACAACAAAGTGCATAATGTTCAAGTAGACAGTGGTGCAAGCATAAGTGCATGTAGTGAACTTATGTATAATAACTACTTCGCGAAATACAGACTAAAACAAGACTATTCAATATTAAAAGGTTATAATGGCGAACATTTTCGGAATGTGGGTTATTTCAGCATTGAAGTAACATTCAACAATAAAACTAACTTGATCAAATTTTATGTAGTGCCTGATGGAGGTCCCATGCTTGTGGGACGGGACTTTTTATCGAAATTCAACGTAACCCTGAATGTTTTGAATGTCATAACTCCAAATGAGGAAATAGAAAAATTGATGAACAAATATAGTGATATTTTTCGAAATGAATTGGGTTTATATAAACATAGCCTTGTTTCTTTACAGTTGAAGCCTACTGCCAAGCCTGTTTTCCTGAAGCCTCGGAATGTTCCATTTGCATACCGACCAATGGTAGAGGAAGAACTCCAGAGATTAGAACGTGATGGCATCATAGTTCCTGTCCAAAATAGTGAATGGGGAACACCATTGGTAGTTGTACCGAAGAATGATGGAAAGATTAGGATCTGTGGAGATTATAAGGCAACCATAAATAAGTATCTGGAGGAAATAAAATATCCATTGCCATTGTGTGAAGATATATTTGCAAAACTTTATAAAGGTGAGAAATTTTCTAAAATTGATCTGTCGCAGTGTTATGCTCAATTTCCATTAGATGAAAAATCCCAAGAAATGTTAGTATGGTCTACTCACAAAGGATTATTCAAAATTGTACGAATGCCTTATGGGATTAGTCCTGGCACAGCTATTTGTCAAAGGAACTTGGAACAGCTTTTTCAGGGCATGGAGAATGTTAGTAACTTTCTCGATGATATTTTGATAACTGGAAAAGACGATGAGGAGCATTTTCAGGTCATCGAGGCAGTTTTTAAAAAACTGCAGGAAGCAGGGCTAACAATTAAGAAGGAAAAATGTAGTTTTTTTCAGGAACAAATCGAATATTTGGGCCATGTAATTGGAAAAGAAGGAATCCGTAAATCAGAAGACAAGGTAAAAGCAATAATTCAAGCAAGAAGACCAAGTACAGTACAAGAAGTTAGATCTTTCATAGGTCTAGTAAATTACTATAGCAAATTTATTGAAAATCTGTCATCCTTATTGAAGCCTATTTATAATTTATTGAAGAAAAACGCAAATTTCAGCTGGACAGACAAATGTGAAGAAGCTTTTACCAGAATAAAACACAAAATTGCTGAAGATATAGTGTTAGCTCACTTCAATCCGAATTTGCCCCTGGTACTTACCTCAGATGCATCTAATTATGGTATGGCCGCCACACTAAGTCACATTCTACCAAATGGAGCAGAAAAGCCAATTGCTTGTGTGTCAAGAACATTGATGAAAAATGAAGAAGCATGGTCTACCTTAGAAAAGGAAAGTGGAGCAATAATTTTTGGAGTACGTAAATTTGAAAAATACCTAGCAGGTAGGAAATTCATTCTCAAAACAGATCACAAACCATTAACAACAATTTTTGGTGAGCATAAACAGCTACCAGTGATGCACACTAGTAGGTTACAAAGATGGGCTTTGTATTTAGCAGGTTTCCACTATGAAATTCAGTATATAAAAGGAGAAAACAATCAAATGAGTGATTATCTATCTCGGGCTCCGTTGAAAGTAAATACAATAGACCCAGAGTATGAAGGAAAAGGGGAATATGTGAATTTCATCAAAAATTCAGAGGACTGGCCAATCAATAGTGAAGAAATTAAAAATGAAATCAGGAGTGACAAAGAGCTGAAAAAAGTATGTATGTTCCTTAAATCAAATAACTGGCCCAGAGAAATTGAAGAAACATTGAAACCATACTATAGAAGACGTGAAGAACTGCATATAATTGATGGACTACTGATGTGGGGACACAGAGTAGTTATTCCACATAGATTTCGATCTAGGTGGCTGGAAGAAATTCACTCAGCGCATTTGGGCATAGGAAAAACAAAATCACTAGCAAGAACATACATGTTTTGGCCTAACATAGATAAAGATATTGAACGAATGATAAACAGTTGTGAGCCTTGCCTCAGTCAGAGACAAAGCCCACCTAAAAATCCACTAACACCATGGGAAGCTGAATCTCAACCTTGGCACAGAGTTCATGCTGATTATTTAGGCCCAGTTCAAGGAAAAACATTTTTAATAATTATTGATGCTTTTACTAAATTTCCAGAAGTATACCAGATGAAAACCATGAGTGCAGGGGAGTTAGAAGAAAAGTTAAGAGACTGTTT